TTTTCAGCGATGATTGCGTTAGGGTTTGGTAGGTAGGGCACAATGAATACTAAAAATCATCCTAAAAAGTGTTAATTATTTTGTTTTTGTTATTATTGATAATTGCCATGAATAGTTTGGCAGCCAGTGCGGCACCAGTCACATGCCGGTATTGATTTTTTTTCCTCGTTGAACCTATTACGAATGTTGAGGAGTAATATTAAATTACTTGTATTTCAATCACCCATATTGTCATATTCATGTAATTAAGTAATGTTTAATTGAGCCTGGCCAACGACTGGCAACCAACGCTGGGCCGAGATGGGCGCCCAGACCTGGCCCGATGTTATCATTCCAGGTTTCAACCAAGTCCGGCGCGGTCCCGGTTGAGGAACGGGTCCCGAAGTTCGGCAGGCCGGCCACCGGGCTTGGGCCAAGCTCGGCCCATTCGTTTTGTCGTACGTGGGTTAGGCGACCGTAAGATCAATGCCTAGTTTGGAATAGGTGTCACATCACAACCTCACAATCCTTCATCACATTGTGTGACGTAATATTTAAATGACGTACTATGTAATAATTTTTCCATTTCCAAAAGTCAAATTTTCTCCGATGATTTTTTGTTTGCAGAAATTGAAGCTCAAGAAGCTTGCAAATGGCTGCGAGCTGCAGGGTTCCCGCAATATGCCCAGATGTACGAAGGTGAGTAATTTTCATATTCCCGAATATTCAATATTCAGGTGCACGTTATTATAAATATAATATAATCTTTTGCAATGTTCAGACCGAAATGACATCTCTCCCCTCAAAAGTCACCAATCCAATCAAATAGATTGTTCGAACGTAGACTTCCAAAGGACAAAAAGTCGAACGGGCCAAGATTGGGCCAGTACTGGGAGCCGAGCTGCCGAGTCTCGGCTAGCTATTGGTTTGATAATGTTGGGCCGATATTGTAGGAAAAAATTAATGAATACATTATTTTTTTAATATTTGATTTATATTCTTCGGCTGATTCTTCCTAAAGAAACTGATAACTGCGGATAATGATGAGTAATAAGTTGGACACATCGGGACTCGATCCTGAAACCTTCAGGTTACTAGTCCTTGAGTTCATTCACTCGGCCACCGAAGATCATCGGTCGTAGTACTCGATGTCCCATCCCTACTACCATCGATAGACCCTGAAATACTGTTCAAAGAGGTGAAAAGAAAATTTTTATAATAATTTCAGAGTTCAACCCTCTATACTCGGTTTTTTCCTATGATACAAAATTTGTTTGACAAAATGTGTACAATAACAATTACGAATTTGTTTTTTGAAATGCAACTCCTACACAGCTAATTTCGTTATTTTTTTAACAAAAAATTGCACGATTAATGTAAAATAGCCTGAAAAATGTGTCTGAAAGAATCCAGAATATATTTTAAATATTTTAAGGATGATTTTTATGTCTATTTTACATGAATGGCGCAAATTTTTGTTTTACACAAAACGGAATTAGCTGTGTAGGAGTCGAATTTCAAAAAACACAATGGAATTCAGTGAATAATACTGGTTTTTAGTGGATCTCTTACCATTTTCTCGTATGTAATACTACAAGAGGTTCAAAATTATCAGATATTTCCCGTTAAGTTCGTTGCAAACAAACGAAGGAGTCAAGCTTTTCAGGTTAAAAAATCACGACTGCGAACCACGAGTGGTGTACGGAAGAAAATTTTTCCATCCAAATTTCGGCCAAGAGGATTGCACTGAGATAAAATTCATCTGTCAGTTCCAACGAGGGTTTCACTCATCCACGAAATCTTTTGTTTTTCATTTATATCAACATGAGAAGTTACCAGCGAAATTATCAAAAATTATCAGTAGTAATACCACGAGACCTCCAAATTTATCGGATATTTCCCGATTGTGTTGTTGCGTAGCAACGAGAGGGAGAAGTTCTGCAGATTAAAATCCCGAGCGTGCAGCGCGAGGGATTTTTGTGCAAAACTTATCCCGATCGTTGATCCCACGTACGAAATGCCAGTGTTGGAGAAACGGGCCAAGCCTGGCACAAGCCTGGGCTTGCCAAGTCTGGGCGCCCAGGCTTGGACCGAGGTTCGGCCATCCCTGGGGACCAGGGCTTGAGTCTCGGGAGAAGGGCGGGT